GAGAGAAAGAGCAAGAGCAATGTGAGAGAGACACATTCATTGATTTCCTCCCACAAGCGCCCGACTGGGGCCAGGGATCGAACCTAAAACCCAGGTACATGCCCTTGACCTGGAATGGAAGCTGAGACCCTTCTGTCCGTGGGCCAACACTCTAACCACTGAGTGACACCGCCAGGGCCACATTCTTTTTAATAACCTTTAAGAGTAAAAAATGGAATTCTCCTAGTTTTGTTTGTGAGAATACGGTCCCTGGAACATGGCACCCTCTGGGGTTGAACCACGGGCCTTCAGCTGCAAGAGGGTTCCCCACATTTTTCTACCGGGTGCAGCCAAGCATGATTATTCGTTACCTGGAGAAAGCCAGAAGACAAATGAACAGACGATCACTCAGCAACATTCCTAGCCCCCTGCTCCTTTTTCAAAATAATATAACAAATGTTCTCTAGCAACCTGACCATTTAAACTAGAGCCAAAATGTGCTAGCATCTTTGGAGCTTTTCTTTAAACACCAAGTAATGAGTTTTAACATAGGAATTCTTATTTTCCAGAACTCAGTTTTATTGATCAATGTAGTTCTGTTGTTCCTTATGCTTAATTATATGAAGTTATTTTCCTCAGGTTAGAAAGTAAAAAAAATAAAAATAAAATAAATAATAAAAATCTCCTGAACTCAGCAGAAACTCAAGATAAAGTACCCTTCACTTTTTTCTGACCCTCGAATTCCCCAGACAACTGAACTGTGACTAATTTAATTAATTATGGGTCAACTAAAATGGAAATGGTTTATCTAGGATCTGAGAGCAATTTGAAAAGCATTAGGCTAACTTCGTCAAACCATGCACATGCCTACAGAGGCTACAAAGGATTGAGTTTTTTCTACACCCGCATTTTCTCTCTCCTTCCGAAATGCCTACAATACTGAGCACATTAGCTGACCAAGGGCAGGAGGGTGGGCGAGGGGGTACATGAGAGTTATTGCTCCAATCAAAGCAAGACACTTGGTGCCGCTTGTAACTAGATGTCATTTTCTACTGTATGAATAGAAAACTACTGGATAAGATCTATCCAGTTCTGAATATAATGATACTGTTGACTTAATGAGCTATAAATCTTCTTTATTTAAATTGCATTAAGATTAAGAACTCAGCTTCCAGTGTAATAAATTGGTTCCACCATAACACAGAGGTATATAAATCTCAGTACTATAAGCTGTGGACAATAACAAAAGTTGTGTTGCCTCTATAGACCCATTCTTATTTCAACTGAATAAGCCATTTTCACAAATTTAGATAATTATGATAAAATCAACTGTTTTATTAACAAAGTGGTATAATGGATTAAGCAACTTATCATTTGTTTATCACAGAAGTTGAAACTTGAGCATAATGAGTAAAGTATATATTCTCTTCTACTTCCTCTGAGCAAGTAGTTTTGAACCCAAATTTCAGAATAGTTCCTGCAAATTAGCATTGCCTGGAGCAGCAAAGGCCTTAGCTTAGTAAAAAGTGAAGTTTAACTGATGTTTTGAAACAGGGCTTCTCCTGGGGATGGTTCTGCCCATCCGGACATGCTGCAGTGTTTGGAAACACTTCGGTTGTCACAAGTGGAGGTGCTGGTGGCCCCTAAAGGCCAGGATACTTCTGACCGCCTTCCAATGTGCAGGCCAGCCCGCAGCCAGCGAGGAATTGTCCCCTGAAATGTCGCCGGTGCCGGAGGTGAAACCCTGCTTTAAACCAGGGACCATCCACCAAAGTCTACTTTGGGAAGAAACTGAATTGTTTCCTAAAATTCTTGGGGAGAAAAATCTCTTATGTTTACTTGCTACTAGGAAATAAAATTTCAGAAATCAGGAGTTCCTAAATTCTGCAAAAATCCACAAGCCATCCTTTTGCCATAACTGACTGCTCACCAAAGCAGGCAATGTTCCCATCCAGTCCGATGTATTTTAGGTCATATTTGGCAGCTTCATTTTCAATGGGCTCGTTCTCTGATCCGTCGTCCATGGCGAATATGTCCTTTTGTCGGAATTCTGCGTTGTCATCAAAGTTTATCTTGGCATCAAAACAGACAACTGAAAAAGGAACATACATGCTGTCTCTTATGGTCTACACGTTACATTCTCAAGGTTGGGTGGCAGAGGAGAAAACACAAGTAAGACACTGTCGCCCTACCTCCTGATACAGATGGGACAACTATCGGGACCTCCTGCCCCGAAATTAAACCTCAGAGCTACAAAGACAAATATGAAGTGGTTCCTGTTCCAAGGGACTTTCCTTCTAACAAAGAGCACAGGCATTTGTGTCTGCTGATCTCTGTTCAATCAAATAACAATGTAAGTTGCTATCAGCCATTAAAAGCCAAGACTGCCAGCTACATGTAGCCCTGATGAGCTGTTCGTGCTATATTTTTAGTAATTAATCACTAATTGTCACCTTTTCCTTCAATGCAAAGAGACTAGACAATAACCCTTAATCCTGCCATGGTCCTTTGTCCTTCTGATGATGCAAAGTGAAATTTTTATTTAACTATATCCTCACCAATACTTCTCAGAGATGTAGTGGAAAGAACACTGGGTCAGAATCAACAGTTTTTATATGATCCTTAACTAACTGTAGCCTTGATTTAAAAAAAAAAATAATAATAACCTACTTCCTCTCTGGGCCTCAGTTTTCTTATTTAGAAAATGGAAATATTCCCTAGACTGCTGATACACTTACTTGGGGCCTGCTAACGTGCGTTCCATCAACCACCAGGACATGCCTCTTTTGATTCAAGTTGTAAAACACTAAGAGACCCAGCTGGTCAGACACAAGGAAGGCTGACAGGCACTACTGGCAACGCTGTCTCTGCCCCCAGGGCTGGTTAATGCTCTCAGCTCTCTCAGTGGCCACGGGCCCTGGACATAGTGACTCTCACTCAGGGACGAGGATGGACCGCGAGCGCGTTCCTTGACTTCCAGGAGATCTTCTGTATGTACAGTCGGGGGGAGCGCAGTGGGGTGGTGCACTGGTTTCCGGGGCCTGATGGCTTTACTACAGCCTTTAGGGTGGAAATTAGCTGTCTGTGATGCCATCCCATCATCACCTCCTCTACTGTACTTGGGGTGTGGACAGGCAGCGGCCTCCGACCAGGTACTATTCCTCTCCAGCACCGCAGATAGGCACCTAACTCTTAAAGGGGAAACAACCTCCCTGGCATATTTCAATCTAAAGCAGTGACTGCAGTCTGTGAATCCCACTCGCTTCCTGTGGAAAGAAAATGTTGTTACACTGAGACACCTGGGGTGAAAGTGCCCAGGCAGCTTTTCCCCGATGGGCTCTACCACAACCATCAACCAATCTGTGCGGATCTGACATATTAACATCTAGAACACTCGGCATAAATACAAGTCAAAACCACAAATTACTTAGAGTAGCCCTGACTCAGAAGAGAGAGTCCTACGTGGGAGTTAATGTCTGCGGGAGTCAGCAGTCTTGCCACAAAATGTCCCACCACATTTCCCACAGGCTGTGAGCACATGGGGCCCATGAGCAATCGCTTTCCCAAACACTGGAACCTTAGCGATGGAATCCTACAATTAATTACAAAGGAGTTGGCCCATGCTCTCTGCTTGCTACAGTGGCATGTTCTCAGCAGCTAATGACCGGTGTAATAATCAATAGGAAAGCAACTTCACTCTTGGCTTTCCACCGGGTTTATAAATACATTTTAATTAATTTATTAGTAACTGTAGCTCTTCCATTACTCATTGGCAAGACTACTTGTAATTGACACCTTTGAAATGAATGGGCAAAGGCAACCAAATTGACTTCCTAAGAGAAGAGTTTCACATAAAAGAATTCTTGGTCGAGATCAATAAACTAGTAAATCATAGTAAATCCCGGCTGCTCTCTGCCCCTCACAAGACCGCACTCACAAGCACCTTGAGAGACATAATTAGGGGATATGGATGCAGCGTGCAGAAGGCGGCCCCACTGCATGTCTGCGAGCTCAGACTTTCGATGCTTGCCCTGCGGTCTGCTGTATCACTCAGTACAGAAATGTGTTCACTCTTCTGGGGCCACCCTGGGAGACCATTGAGGTTAGCCAGGGCTTGAAGGTGGTGACTGTGGGATAGAAGGGATCTCTATAGGGAGAAATATGTATGTCCTCTGGCATCCAGAGCACTGTCTGTCTGAATCACCACTCTGGCCCCTCCGAGCCAGGCAGCCGATCACCTTAAGCCCAGTGGCCTGGTCTATGAAATGAGGAGCAGAGGCCATCAGCCGCGTGGGGTTGCTGGAAGGAGAGGAGGCATGCAAGCACTCGGCCACATACACAACTGGCCCTCGCCCCCGTCCTGTCCCTGCAAAGAGCTTTCCGACACTCAGAGTGTCCGCTGCCCAGCTCAGAGGATTCTCCCCCTTCCTCTCACTCGGAATGACCTGTACTTGGTCAACTCCCTTAGAGTGCCGGCCTTCTGTTTAGAATAAATATAAACTGATGCTTAAGGGGTTTACTTCTATGCATTACCTGTGGTTTTCAATGCAACACCATCTTCACAATGCAAGGATGTGTCTAAGAGAGCCCATGCACCTCTCACCCCCTCACCACCCAAAAAGATGTAGGTTTGGGGGGCGGCCATTCCGTTTTAGATGACCTTTCCTCACAACTCAGCCTTTCCCCCAGGAAGGGTTTCAATGGCAGGCGTTTCATGAAGGCCTTGTAATTGACAGAGAAGGACGTTTTCTCTTAAAGGACGAGGGTGAAAGAGCTGCCTCTCTTGAGCCTCAAATCACACAACACCTCTGCAGAGGGCCAAGGTGGCTACAGATTGGTACATCAAAGTCAGGAGGCCCAGCGTGCCCCTCAGGTCAGCTCATGCCTGTTTCTGTAAACAAGGTTTGACTGGACCACAGCCACACCAGTTCATCTACGCAGCCCTGTCGCCGCTGTCCTGAGAGCCCCACAGCTGAGATGAGTGGCCAGCCCTTATGGGAACAGGCGGGCTGTCCCTGCTAATCACAAAGTCTCGTCACATTGGCACCCTGCTCTAACGCTGACACAGTGGCCTCCGCTATCACGTCTGTTATGGGGAAGGAGAAACTTAGAAAATTGGGTCCTACTAGCTTGAAAAGAAAAATGTGAAACAAACAAAATAAAACCTTGCAGCTGCACACAGTAGATTAATCCCTGAATATTGATTGACTCTCGTATGCTTAATTCCCCCTGTAAGACCTTTCCAAGTACACGTTTAGGCCTGGCGTGTTCAAAATGGATTGATGTCTATGTCAACAGCAGGGCAATAACAAACCTTAGTTTTTTCATTGAATATAACAACAAACTATGGTAAAATGTATTTTGGAAGGTGCTCAGCTTGGTCCAGGCATTAAGACTTTCAATGTGACAATAATAAAACCTCAATTCTTTAGAAAATTCAACTTGAACAAAGGCCATTCTGTGTACAAAGTGGGTGAAAAACACACCTATTAATATTTATAAAACAATTTTCACCATCAAGAGCACATTGTTACATGCTTGATAGATTATACAAATGAGTTTTCCTTCTGAACAGCTATGAAAGGGAACCACACACTTGGTCACAGGGAGCTTCTGTTGTTTTGTTCAGCGGTGGGTGTTAAGATTCTGCGAGCTGTTAATTCAACAACCTCCATGAACAACATGACTGGCAGTTAGCTGCCTCTGACCCTGGAGATTCAGAAGAAGAATGTGCCATGGAATTAAACAAAAGAAAAGTACCTTTCCAAGGGGAAACTCACACATAAAGGAAACATAACAACAGCAGGAAGTAAGACTGTCATAATTAGTTTGAAAAATAATCTGTCTTCAAGGAATGCATTGCGCTGGATCTATGATAAATAACCATGATGTGCTATGGAAATGAGCCCTTAAAATGCTGCCACTTTCAAACTGGCCCCACTTTCCATTAAATACTGATGTTCCAACAATTGTATACTTTTTAGAACATTTTTTTTTTTTTAGTTGCTGTGGAAAGAGAAAATAGATATGAGGAGGGAGGGGGGTTGAGGGTAGGTAGAACTAAAAATGTTCTTGAAAATAGAAGTCTTGTGTATAAAGACAGAAACAGAAACACCCACCGACAACATGGGCACTTGCTAACACAAAGCATCAGGGTTGTTATTTAGGGAAATTAATTTGAAGCAAGAAAGAGATTTGATGTTCCATTTAACTTTAACCCAGCCTTAACTCTCATGGCATCTTGGCCAGATAGTTACTGTTTAAACGGGGTTTCATTCCTTTAGTTTGGTGAATGGATTTGTGCTCCAGCTGACGAAGATGCCCTAGAGCCGGAGGTCTGCATGTGGGGACTATGACATGATGGGAGAGATCACTTCTGTTGGGAGGTGCTGTGCTGTGCTGTGTGTTACAGGGCATTGAGCGACCTCTCTGGCCTCCACTTACTAGAAACAAGTAGCAACTGCACCCCAATTTGTGACAAACACAAATGGATGCTAATGAGACTCACTGCAGTGATCCAATAAAATCATCGTGCTGTACACCCGAAACTAATACAATGTTATGTCAATTATATCTCAATTTAAAAATATCTTTAGACGTTGCTGAATGTCCCCTAGGGGACAAATGCCCACCTTCCCATTGAGAAACAACACAGACACCAAAGAAAGGCATCTGTGTGCAGGCAGATCTGGCTGAAAGTGGGAAGAAATGAAATCAGAGGCCAAATCCCCGTGGCTTGCAAACTAAATAAATGAATGGATGGATAAGTAGGTAAGTAATAACAAAGCAAATTCATTCACAATTTAATGAAGTAATCCTGGCACTGCCATCGGATAAGCAAGGAAAACAGTTATGTTCTCTCTGACTAATAAACATTTTACTTTCATTTCAGTAAGTTAGGTCATTCTGGTCCCTTTTTCCATCAAGAAACTGCCTTTCTCCAATCCCGTGGTCGGCAAACCGCGGCTCGCGAGCCACATGCGGCTCTTTGGCCCCTTGAGTGTGGCTCTTCCTAAGCCTTAGGAGTACCCTAATTAAGTTAATAACAATGTACCTACCTATATAGTTTAAGTTTAAAAAATGTGGCTCTCAAAAGAAATTTCAATCGTTGCACTGTTGATATTTGGCTCTGTTGGCTAATGAGTTTGCAGACCACTGTGACCTATACCATGTGAGCCAGGCTCAGTGATTGGTCTAGGCATGGGCATGTGACCCAAGCAGGACCAATCACAATCATCTGAAAGGTTGCTATGGTTGCTGGAGGAGCTGTGAGAAGAACAGGCTCACCTTTACTGCCCTCCAGCAGCCCGGCTGACAGTGCAGGGTATTCAGCGGCAGGCAGGGCTCAGGGCCAGAGGCTCCCCAGGCCACTCCTTAGACTTCCTGTTACCTGAGTGAAGTAAGTGCCCCTTCCCCAGCAGGGTCTTTTCCACAAAAACTAGGCAGATGGGGGTTTCTATCTCCAATAACCATTACAATCCTGATAGTCACCAAACTACCGTCAGCAGTGCCAAATCAGTCTTTGAATCAGATTATAAACCACACGGGGAAAAATCGCTCCTAGACTGCTGTTCTTTCTCCACCTCAAAAATGCCCCCGAGCTCACCCGGCAGCACATCTGGTACCCAGGCCACTGCTCTCATTCCAGCAGCAGCACCTGCAAATACGTGACCACGCAGCTGGGTTTAAAACAGTGTTCCTCATGGAGCAACAGGAGCCTGAGGAAACGCTGTTACAGAGAGGCCGTCACAAACAGGAAAAAGGTAAAAATGCCTGGTGTGATGCCTCGCTCCTTACACTTCTAAATTAAAAGAGTAATTACTGAAGTTTTAATGTGAAAGGTTATATGTTCCGCTATTACTGATCTAAATGAAAAAATTAAATATTAAGATTATCAATATTGCTCAGATATAAATGATTGCTTTTACAGCCCCTAAACAAAGGACTGCTTTAGGGGACTGTGACAATGATGAAGATCAATTTGTACATTTGATCATTAATCACCGTTTCCTAATTGGGCTTAATTTGACTACTGCTCATTAGAGTTATAAACCAACACACTCATTTAATTGTGATTAAATTCAGTAGTTGGACTTCTATGGTACAATGAACAAATAGCTAAAGATAATTTTGTTCTTAAAATAGCACATAAGACTTCTGTTTCAATGAATTGTAAACACAAAATTTAGTTTATGATGAGTCTTTCAAAAAAGCTCAATAATGGTTCTTCCTCTTAGTAATTAAAAAGAAACCTTCAGTTTTCACAAGGTTTTACAAACACCCCGTAGGAAAAGGTTCTCACAGCCCTGCCCCTGCCAGAAACCAGCTTTGGCTGACATCTTCCCAAAGGCCTGAATTCCCATTTTTTAAAATATGAAATAACCAGGTGTCTTGTGCATACCAGTTTGAAAAGCAATACATGACCTTTAAGAACTTATATTGAACTACCATCTCTTTCATTTTGTAGGCTTAATTATCAGCCACTCAATACAGCGTGAATTTTGGCTGATAGTCCCAAATTGGGACTACTTCTCGATCAGTCAGATGAAAGCAACTGAATAGTTTAAGAGGGAGAAAGAAGAAAAGGCAAGTAAGTCGCTGTAAGTTGCTATGGCCTATGACAATCCGCAGACACACTGCACTGAGACATGGGTTTGATCCCAGTAACTAATTACTCAGGGGGAAGTCACAGGAATTTTTCAATCCTCCATAAAATAGGGAGACATTTCTGGCTTTGCAGGGTTGTTGCAAGTAATAAAAAAAAGCATATAAGTAAAAGTTTATCATAGTGCTTGACATAAGATTTCAAGAGTTTTTTCTTCCTTCCCGTACTGTCTATAATCAGGGGTGGGGAACCTTTTCTCTGCCAAAGGCCATTTGGATATTTGTAACATCAAATATTGGATATTTGTGGGCCAAACAAAATTAGCCTGCTTAAAAATTAGCCTGCTCGATTTTGTCAAACATTTAACTAGCTCACCCCTATGCCTTGGCAGGGCCAGACCAAATGAGTGTATGGCCCGCAGGCTGGACATTCCCACCCCTGGTCTATATGATGTATTGATGATTTCACAGCCAGATGAAATGTAAAAATTATTTATGAATAAGGTAGTTTGTTTATAAATGACCTACCAGATTTTTATCTGGCGGGTCACCTGTGTAAACTATGAAATATATGATTTTTCATGACTTCCTAAACATGAGCTTTTTGCCAATCTTAATTTGAAATGCTAAAAAAAAATAGAAAAAAAGATAAAAATCTATCTATACCCTTCCTGAACTACTGCTGTGCCTGAGAAGAGGAACTAAATGTTATGACTGTCAGGAATTGGCATGTTTTGTGTCTAACACTGGAGGCTTACACAAACACAAGTCACGCTTTTGGATTAAAAAAAAGAAGATGGAAAAAACAACCACGGGGCTTAGCCTAGATCTGTAGTCAGGACACGGCAGAACCTAGGCCCCCCTGTAAAATAAAAGCACTGAACACCCTGCCCAAACACCACTGGCTCAGGGGTATGGACAGCGCCTTGCGGGGTGAGGGGGCGGGAGGGAGGGGAATGACAAGGTTCTGGGCCTACTGAGGGGCTTCTGCCCAGTGAGCGCATGACCCCCTCTCTGGCCGAGGGCACAGAGCAAATGCAAACAGGTCAGGTCTCTGACATTTGGCCATCCTCTTGACACAGTTCAGAGGATGCGGGGGAGGGAGATGGGAAGGGGTATTCACTCTGTCTCATTTGACCTTATGCTCAGAGTTGTACCTGCAGCAGACAGCACTGAAGTAAAGAATGCAAATACACACACACACACACACACACACACACACATCCATCTTGGTCTACAACTTGGTTTTATTTGCACATAACAGATCACCTCATTTACCAACCCAATGGCAAAGACCTGTTTACTGGCTGTCCGTTGCATTCTAGTCAGCACACAAGATACTGGGGGTGAAATGAACTAGAAGACAAGGTTCCTGGAAGTCACTTTCTGGTGTCACTATGCTACCCACCTACTCACTAACCATCCCTACCACCAAGCACACGCAGACATGAGCTCTGGCTAGGGAATCAATAAGAACTTGTGGGGGTGCGGAGATGTAACAGTTACTTATACTCCACAAGTACCTGATGGATAAGAAAATGCCTCCTCCTCCCACTGGAAGCAGAAGCTCATAATCAAGTCAGGGGGAAAGCCGGATGGTGGGGCACCGGGGCATCACCACGACGGTGCCAACCCAGCGGGCGCTCAGGTGACTATATGCAGATTGAGGTCAACTGAAAAGCTTCAGGCGGTTCATAAAGCAGGTACGTTTTTTACACCCAAATGCAGTGGCTCCTGTTTCCACCCAAACCCTGACCACAGTGATGGGTCTCAAAAGCAAGGGCTGGCCCTAGCCAGTTTTGCTCAGTGGATAGAGCATTAGCCTGCAGACTAAAGGGTCCCAGGTTCGATTCCAGCCAAGGGCACATGCCCGAGTTGCGGGCTCGATCCCCAATAGGGGGCGTGCAGGAGGCAGCTGATCAATGATTCTCTCTCATTGATGTTTCTATCTGTCCCCTCTCCCTTCCTCTCTGAAATCAATAAAAATGTGTATATATAAAAAAAGCAAGGGCTGCTGGAGGATGGGTGTTTCTAAATAAGACAAAAAGCAGGCTCCTCTGAGGCCTGGCATTTGGCTACGAACAGACTCAAGTGCAGAAACGGTCGACGGCATCACGGGAGCATTTGAAACTGTGGCAGAAATTAAATCACCGGGAGAAATTAATGCAAAGCTGCTGCCACAGTCCTGTGCAGAATTTAATGTATAGTCTGCAGGAGTAATTGTGTTCATTTGTTTTCTCTTATTTATTTATTTTTACCTTGTCCTTCTGGCGTCTCACCGAAGGGGTTCACTTCCACCTGCGTAGCATCGATTTTCAGGAAGAGGTGATACAGCTTCTTAATTTCATCTGCGGCCTAGACGTGATCAAGTGAAAAGAAATTACACCAGAGCAGCAGAAGAACGTTTATTCTGCTGGATTAATGAAACCTTAAAAATTACACGCTCCGTCTTTGTTTTCAGTTAGGCTTTCTGAAGGGGAAAACAGAAAAGCATAGTATTTTAATTTCCACTGCTATTCATTAGAAGGGATTGCTCCACGTTCCTCCAGACACCAGAAAAGACCATTATCAAGACAACAACATATTTCCAGTATGGCCTAAAAACGCTGGTAATCTTTCTGTAAATTACCGTGTTCCTATTAGCCGAGCTATGCCACAATGTGAGCTACAATCATTAATACAAACAAGCTCCATTTAAGTAAAAGGTAAACATGACTTGGAGAGTTTATAATAACTAGGTTTTCCTAATTATGCTGGAATTAGACAGTTATTAAATTCATCAATTCAAACTTATAAATCTGTGGAACAATTACTGCGCGTCTAATGGAAACTGTTGCAAGAAAGGAAGATGGAGGCCCTAAACTGTCCATGAATGCACAGCACAGTTCAACTGAGAACAGTGTGCCCCACAGGCAGAGACCAGAGCAGGGCGGCCAGTTTCCCAGAGGTGATGCCGGCTTCCTTTTCTCACTCTGCTTAAGTTCACCCGCTCATGCACACTGCAGGCAAGGCTTCTGAACCG